AAAGAAAAACATATATTTTATTTATTTTTATTTTATGTGCACAAGTGTATTGCCTGCATGTATGAGTGCACCCATGTTGTACAATGCCATGGAGGTCAGAAGAGGGCTTCGAATTCCCCTGGAACTGGAGTTAAGGACAGTTCATAGCTGCCTTGTGTGTGCTGGGAATCGAACCTGGGTCCTCTGCAAGAGCAGTCAGTGATCTTAACCGCTGAGCCATCTCTCCAGCCCAACCCTAAAATCTTTTAAGTATTAGATAAAAGCTCCCAAATATTTTCGACATTTTTGGCCTTTGGAACGGAGTATGTTGCTAAAAGGCCTAAGGACATTGTGAGTTTTAGCGAAGAAACTGGCTACTTTTCTTTGGGGTCTTTTTACCCTAACTGCCTGGCCAATTCCTACCTCCTATTCTTATCCCAACGCATGTTCTTAGCACACTGATTGAAAGTCAGCATCTCTACTTTTTAAAAAGGTCCTCATGTGATTTTCACTAGCAGCCAGAGCCGAGAACCACTCTCAGGGTTAAACTGATGAATATGCTTCTGAAGGGCTTTTCAAAAATAAAAGGAGATTTAGAATTGCTGCACATTTCCTTTTAGACAGTCTCAAAAGACGATGGTACCTTGAAGGGTAATATTCAAACTTATTGAACCCAAGACTGTTGTACAAAATATCTATTAACATAGATGGGGGCTGATTTTGTTATATGGAAAGTAATAATGAAACTTGGCCTCACTTTTAAATAGAAATCCTTACACAGTTAACTCTGAAGGACAGAGGATAAAGTCCTTTCCACTGTAAGGATGGAGACTCCCTGCCATCATACTCCTTTAGCTCAGAACAAAGATCTATGACATCATAGTTGGAAGGGACCGTACATGCTACCTAATATGCTCTGAACACACACACACACATGAGACCTAGCATCCTCTCAGGTGGTCATTCAGCTACAGATTGAACAGTTCAACCCTAAGAGATCTCATTCCTTTCCAAGACAACACATTTCATTGTTGGGCAGATCAAGCTATCTTTATATGGGTCAGAATTAGCCTTCCTCTGACTTCTACTTGCTCACAGCTGCGTTGTTGTCTAGCATAATAGTATAAAGTCTCCCCTTTCAAATGAGTGTCCTTCAGCATAGTATTTAGCTGGAACATGGTACATTACAGCGAACCCAGGATGATAACAGGAACCAAGAGACTGGGATTTGAAATGCAGCTCTGCCTCAGACTTTATGACATAGCAATTAAAGTCCCTCAGGCTTGACTTTCGTCCTGAGTATGAAAAAAACATAAAAACAAAGACAATGAAGAACTGGAATAATTGTTAGCATAGAATTAAAACTATAGTGGTTTGTTACTGTGAAGTACTGTACAGATACAAGAGGCTGTGTTTGTAGTACTTTAAGGTACAATATTTTTATATTTGAACAATTGTTTGGACAGTTGCATCATATATTCCACTTCTCTTCTGAGGCTAGGTGTACTGGAGTTGCTAAACAGGAATGTTAATGACACTGAGCATTCCACAATACCCCTGTCTGCCACTTGCTTCAGTGACTTACTGAATCACAGGTCAAAGTCTTTCAGGATGGCCTGGGCAACAGTAGGCTGATGCTACCTGCTAATTTTGGAACACACCAGAAAAACCAAAGAACAGTGGCCTCAGAATCAGAAGATCTGACTAGAACCTGTCATTCACATGTGGGTGGCCTTGAACAAAGTTGCTTGCTTCGATTTTAGCACCCATGGAAGAAGAGAACCAAGGTGCTGTCTTACACGTGGTGCTATTAGGATTAAGTAGCACACACCAAGCTCTCAACAGTAAGTTTTGTTCATTTCACTGACATTTTCACTGGAATATTCTTTAAATGGTGAGACTCCTTCAAAGGTGTTATATGTGCCTAAGGTCAGCAGAATTTCATATTCTTGGACTCCATGTAGATGGAGTTCCAACTCTGCCGTCAATTCATCAATTGTCTCTGTGACCCATGTACCTCACTTCTTAGGCCTTTGATTTCCTTCCTTCCTTCCTTCCTTCCTTCCTTCCTTTCGAGATGGAATCTCACTATATAATGTAGGCTGACCTTCACTTCATCTGTAGACCAGGTTGGCTTCAAGTTTATGATAGTCCTGCCTCAGCCTCCCCAAATGCTAGGTATATGTTATTATACTGGCTGGATAAGCTAATCTTCAATTACTGTGATTCTGGGACCTCTAATATCCACATTGCTAATAAAATTGAGAAGAAAAATTTAAAAGTAAACTACTTCCTAGGAACAATTCAGTTATTCTGTAATCCCTAAATACTCTGATTATAAAAACAATGTCTTCAATTTGCAAAGTTGCATAAAAAATGACTCTCTGTAAGAATACACATTTGTTTCTAACTTAGTTCTGCTAACCACATTCCCAAGGTCAGGTAACAGAATTTGTAAAAACTCAGTAGAAAGAGACATTTCTCCAAAGAAAATATGCAAATGCCAATAAGCCCAGAAAGATGTTTTCCATCATTTAGCCATTAGGGAAATGTAAATCAAAACCACACCAGTGTTATCAAGGGAGAAATAGGGAAAATGGGGGTACTTTAACTGGGGAGGGAGGAGGAAGGGCTATACAGGGGGAGAGGGGAGATACATAAGCTTAGGTGGTGTAAAAAAGCCAGCAGGAAATGTATTAATCCAAAAGTCTACGGAAACACATGCACACACACACACACACACACACACACACACACACACAACACACACACATTTGCATGTGTATAGCTGAAGGCTATATAACAAGAAACAATGCCAGACAGAAGAAACCTCCCTTTGAGTTGTTGGTCAGGGTAGTCCAAGAGACTCCCAAAATAAGACAGGCTATTGCCACAACCCTTGATTATCTCCCAGAACTTGAAGATAAGACCCTATTGCTGAAGACAGGACATACTTCACACTCAGGACTTGGAGCAATAGAGTTGGAACTGAGCTGGCAGACTAGCTCTTATAGTATGAGAGGATACTACACAAGCTGCTAAAAAGGGGGAAAAAATTTAAGCAATGATCCAACGCAGCTGTAAAGTCTAATAACCACAACAATGACTGGCATAGCAAACTATCTCTATTGGAGCAGGAGTGGCATTTTTACCTTAGAGTTAATCAACAACTATCTAAGTGGACTTAAGGCCTAACCAATGGGAGGGAACTCATGTGTGGTACTATAAACAGCCAAATACAATGGCTGGAGAGGTCATAGAGAAAAACCTATGTCTGTGATATCCCTAGACAAATGTAATTTCTTACTGTATGCTAAATAAGTATCCTTTTAGTCAGAGACAAATTTACCTCTCACTACTCAGCAAAGAAACTTCTTTTTTGCAGTAGATGGAGACTATTACAGAGTTCCACTACTGGCCAAACACAGAAAAATAAGTGTCTGTGAGATGCCCAATCCTAAGTGACACATCTACAATGCAATCTTTATATCTAAGGCTCAGGGAACACAGAGTAATGGGGATAGAGAGAATATTAACGTACCTCTTAACTCTCACTGGTGAAGCTTCCTCATGCAACAGATGATGATTAACAAATAAGCCACAATTGGCCAAAATGTAGAGAATAAGAGCCTGCAGAGTGTGTGTCCCTATATAGGACTCCTATTAAACATCCGCCACCCAGGGCTCAGGGACCATTGGAAGAGAGGGGACACAAAGACTGTAAAGAGCCAGGAATGGTGGATGACCACAAGGAAACAGAGTTTTCCAGGTGGGGGTTGGGAACTTGCTCATTTGAACTCACAGCAATGGTGACAGCATGTACATGACCCATGCAAACTCAAACCAGACAAAAACCAGCATAGAACTGGGGAAATGAGTAAGAGGTCCCAAGTTTAGCTGAGGAACTATTGACGACTGATCACTGCTAGGTGAGGGAGAGTTGGTCTTCTTCAAGGAAGTGATGCTACATAGGTTGAATCCAGTGGATGGACTCACACCGAAGGACATTTGGAGACACATACTTGACTTGATGGGTCTTAGCATATATGACAGAATTTGACAGGGAGACTTGGGGGGGTGCGGTTAGGGGAGGGGATCTATATATGATCAAGATGTATGAAATGCACAAAAAAATAAAAAAATTTAAAAAATGGTTAAGATGGTAACAACAACAACAACAAAAAACCCACAAGACCTTCTCTCATGCTCACTGGACAACTACAAAAAAAGACAGATAACAACAAGTGATGGTGAAGATGTAAAAAAACTGGAACCCTAATTCGGAGCTGGAAAGAATGTGAAAGAACATCCTTTTTTAGAAAATACTCAGCAGTTCTTCAGAAGTAGAGTTATGGATTAGCAAGTCTATTCTTAGGTATAAAGGAAGGAGAAATAAAAGCGTAAGTCCAAACAAAAACTTGTATGTGAATGTTCTTAACAGTATTATTCACAATACTCAAAGAGTAGAGACAATTTGAAAGTCCATCAATTGATAGCAAATAGATGAATAAAATGTGTGTGTATATTTAACAGGATATTATTTGTCAATAAAAAGATATGCAGTATTAATACATGCCACAACATGGATAAACAATGAAAATACACTAAGTGAAAGAAGCCAGACACAGAAGACCATATAAGGTAGGATTCCATTCATGCGAAATGTCTACAATAGGAAATCTAGAGAGATAGAAGGACGATTAGTGGTTGTCAGGGGCTGGCAGGAAATGAGGAATGACTACTAACCAGTATCAGAGTTGGGGGGTGATAAGGATGTTCTAAAATTGACTGTGGTGATGGTTCAACAACTAAGTGCATACACCAAGAACCACTGTACTGTACATTTTAAATGTGTGAATTACATGATATGCAAATCATGTCTCACTAAAGCTATTAAAAACTCAATACATGCACATAATCATTAAACCATAGGGATCAAGGACCAATTAAATTTAAATCAGAGTGCAAAGAATATATGTTTATATAATAAATAGCATTGTATATAGATAATTGCTTTATATGTTCAACTGCTTTAAATCCATTTTTTTTACATTTGGATCATTTTTCAAGGAGAAGCTGAATTTTAAGGAAGTAAATAATAAACAAGGCTATTGTGGCATAGGAAACACATTTCTTTTACTACCCAGGATTGACTCAACGGTGCGAAATGCTATTTAGAAAAAGAATGACAAATTTTGAATGAGAAAATGTATTTCATCGTGGAAGATAAAAGTCTTTCTTCTCTATAGTGAATACAGGTAATTTCAGAAGCAGCAACTCCTAATTATTCTGTGTTGAAAAGCTAAAAAAAAGGTTCATATTGAAAACAGTGACCTCCAGTTTGCTCTGTGAATGAAGGCAGACACAAATTCTCATTTTCCTAGAATCCTGGTTGATAAGTGCATTGGGGAAAAGCAGGCATTTCTTCATTACAGTGCAGTGGACTGTTCATTTAAATAACAATAACCAGCATAAAAGCCACAAAAGCATTATCTAGCAATTCTACCGCGTTGAAATGCATTATTAGTGCTAACAATGCCAAATACAGTAAATAAATGACTGTCCCCTTATTTCCAGCATCATTCCTGCTTACTTAGCTTTATGAAAGGGGTGCCATCATTATTACTGGTACATTCAACAACTTGGACGGCACCATTTGCTTGGATAACTCTTGAACTGGGAGGGCTTTTAAAATGGAGTTAAAGCCTTTCCTAGCTTATGTAAGGAAGAAAAAAAAATCTTCTAACCTGGTACTTATGCATCATATATTTGTAATGGAAAATATTTGAAGAACTCAGTTTCTATTCACTGTGCCTGTGTAAAAACTAAAGCCTTCATTAAGGACAACATACTTAGAATGTATTAGAATGGAATGGTTTACACCAGTAATTTAACTTTAAATCTTACTAAGAACATGCTAATAGTCTTGCCTTTTGCTTTTCCTTCACTCTCTGAGATATCTAAAATCCCATGCAAAAGCCCTAATCAAGTTTTGTTCTGAGAGCAATCTTCAATCTACCACATACAGAGTGAATAAAAGGAGATATTTGGAATCATTTATTCCCGAGTCTCTAGTTTGATGCAGTTAGGGATGATTTGGAACACAGTAGTCAACAGGGGAAGAGGAGGAAGAGACCTGAGTAGAGACACCCATCATGAACTACACAGAGGACAAGGAACATTTGGAGCCAAGTCTTTCAACCCACGTCCTCCAGACATGCACATAAAGTAATGGAGGAAGATTCCTTATAAATCAACAAGCAACATCCTAATCCAGGCATGATTCAGAGCTTATAATTCTTTATCAATGAGTCACTGCTGCCCTCAATGGAACCTCTAGATTTTCCACATAGCAGAGCTCAGGCAAGAAAAGATGCAGAGAATGGCTATGAAGCTGCACTTAGGCAGCAAGGCTGGCCTGTCTGTCTCACTGCTCCCCACCATGCCCTTTTTTGCTCCAGAGCACTGAGGAGTCTGTAGCTCTGAGCACAACACACCGTTTTCTTTAAAAATTTTTGATTTGTTTATTTTTATTTTATGTGTATGAGTGTATTGCCTGCATGTATGTAAAGTGCACCATGTTGTGCAATGACTGTGGGGGCCAGAAGAGGGCATTGGATCTCCTCGAACTGGAGTTATGGACGGTTGTCAGTTGCCATGTGGGTGCTGGAACTGAACCAGGGCTGGCATGTGACAATAGCCAACAGGGCTGCCATGTGACAATAGCTGGTGGCCAGTGAGTGTGAATAGAAGAGTAGTGAATTCACCAACAAGACGGCTACAAAAGCTGACTGGGAAAGAGCACTTTCCATGTATTTCAAATATTTCTTGCTCTTCCTTGATC